AGTTCAGACCCCACAACTGACTATAAATAAATAACCAGCAAAAAAGCAGGACCAAAGGCATGACTCAAGTGGCAGAACACCAGTTGAATAAACAAGCGAAGCATGCTTCAGGCCCTGAGCTCAAACTTAGCACCAGCCTAAATAAAGTAAAAAGTTGTCAGAGATCAAACTGTGAGGGCTTTTGAAAGGTATCCTGCATAGATGCTTGGACAACATCCTGAAGGGGACAGGAAGGTTATTAGCTGAATGATTTTGGAATACTTTTTTGACTTTGTAACAAGTAAAAAAAAAAAAAATCCGACTCAAAGCAGCTTAAGCAAAAGAGCATTTCCTTGAAGAGCTCTGGCTCAATTTCCAACTGAGACTGGGGTGACTCCAAAGCTTCCTGGGTCTTGAGGTGGGCATCTTCCAACCCCTGAACTAATTCCAGAGTTCCCCCATCACTGCTGGGAGGTTGCCATGCTCAGAGAAGCACAGTGACAGACCAGGACCTATGTCCACAGCTACATCTTATCACCAGGGCTGGAGGACCAGGAAGAGTTAACTGGAAAAGTCCCTGAGAAATAGCCAGGCCAGTTAATGACAGCAAGGGTTAATAAGGAGGGGATGCAGATGGATGGCATGGGACTAAGAGGAAAGAGTGTACACATGAATGTGGGGGCTTACACAAGTCATCCACATAGCTTGTCGCAGGAGCTGTCCAGCGGGCTGAGCGGCACCAGCACAATGACCTCCATGCCACTCTCGTGCTATAAAGGTAATCCATTCCATTCCCCTGGTAAGGGAATTGAGGCTCCTGTGAACATGTATTTTGCTCAAGGTTACACAGCCAGAAAGTGGTAAAGTCAGGATTCCCACCCTGAACACCCTGCTCTTCCTACTTTGCCTCCCCCATGGGGTGGGGTGGGCATAAAGAAACAGTCCACATTTCACAACATAGCTGCAGAAAAGTCACCATGTTGAGCTGGTAGGACATGACAGGCCCACACTGTGGCTCATCATTTACACAACTAAGCACCTCCACCCCCACCCCCCAATCTATGGAGGGCTCAGCAAGTCACCACTGGGGGTTCCAACATAGCTAGGGAGAAAAACCCCCGGGATGAATGAGAGTTGGGGGAGACTACACTCCTTAAGGTAAAACCAACAACTCTGCCTGCTCCTCTGAGACCTAGAGGCCAGGAGGAGGGCAGTGACTCCATAGCAAGGAAAGAAAAAGTCTTGGAACAAGCTGGATGCCAATGCTGTCTTGTCCCACTGCAAAGTCCCCTCCTAACCCCCAAAGGAGCCTTTGATACTCAGCCCCTTGGCAACCCCAGAAACAGTTCCTTGTTAGGCTCTGTGCACATGGAGCAAAAAGTTAGCGTGGTCCCAAGAGCCTCCCCGCCTCTTCCACCCACTTCTTTGGGCCCCTGGCAAGGACTGTGCCCTGCTCAGATCAACTAGTAGCCCATGTGCTTCCTCGCACCAATTCCTGGGTCATGATACTGAAGCAGGAGACTGAGCTGGGGGTAGGACCTTAGAGGGACATGGGGCACTGGTCTAAAGGCAATATAAAGGGCCTCAGCGAATATAAAGGGCACCGAGACCTTCAGCTGTGTCGCTCTGCACCTGTCCAGCACCATGGTAATGTCAGGTCTGGGGACCATTGTTAGCTGCATTCTCCAGAAGCTTGGGAAAGGAGACTGTCCCCATTAAGGAGTAAAGCTGAGGCAATCTCCTCTGTCATTCTATGGGCAAGACAGCTGCTAAGGTTCCCTGATTTTTGCTTGGGGAGGTGGGGAAAAGGGAAGTTCCTGAGTAAAAAGGGGCTTGAGGGGGGCCTCAGGGGCGTGTGTGTGTGTGTGTGTGTACTTATGGGTATCTTAGGCTGTGAATTATTGGGTGTGCCTGTGTGTCTCATTTACTGTGTGTAACAGCAGCTACTAAATGACCACAATGTTTTGGATGTCTGTGATAGTCAATAGTCAAAAGCAAAGCAACAGCCAGTGTGCAGAGGTGCTTAGCAGAGGGAGGAGATGTGGCTGGTAAAGGACAACAAAGATGGTAAGTATAGATAGCATAAAGAAAGAAAGTAGAATGGAGGGGGTGGGCTGCAGTTTTAAATAGAGGTGTCAGGGTTAGATCCATTTAGAAGGTGAATCTCCAGCGCATGCCTCAGTCACAGCTGGCCAAGCAGATGTCTGGAGGAGGAACTTTCCAGGCAGACAACAGTCTGTCAAGCTGTTGGAGGACAAGCAAGGGAGCAGGAGAGGCGGAAATGTGGTGAGCTAGGAGATGTGGGAAAGGTCAGAGAGGTGAGGGAGCTACTCAGTCAATGTCTTGTGTCTATGGCAGTCTATGCCTTGTGTCCAAAGCAGGCCGGGCCTCGGTGCATTTTAACCTCAGAGCTTTGTGGGATCATGTATGGGTATCCAGATGTGCAGCGTTCATTCCGCCTAGGCCTCAAGATGGTTCCTTTATAGGTGCTGGTGACGTCAGTCCGTGTTATGTCCCGGGGCAGACACATCCTTGATCTGAGCGCTCTGAGGACCCTGACTTTTTCCACACATTGCTCAGACCCGGTTCAATGGGCTGCGCAGACCTAGGCACCACCCGTATCACGTGACCGCCCCCCTTTTGTCTGCCCCGCCCCTTCCAGACCACGGCTCTGCGCTTCTGCGCATGTGCGCTGGCTCTGCCATATCTGCTGCTGCTGCTGTTGCTGCTGCTACAACCTAGGGGTGCTCAAACCCAGGAGTTGCAGTCGCCCCCAGAGCCCAGGACTGCTGGTAGGCTTGGGAACTTGAGCCAGCTCCACAAGTATTTGGAGAAGTTCTTCAATGTCAGGTGTGCAGGCAGAGGACATCAGGGAGGGAGAGGGTGGAGGGTGGACCACGGGGCACCCCCACACCCTACCCCCCCATCTCCACACAGCTCCCCATGACCTCTATATCCACGTGTTCCCTAGCTTGAAGAAGCCCAAAATCCAGAAGAAAACAGTGAACACCAGGAAATACCCCCCATCCAACTCCACAAAACCCCACCACCCACCCAATGCCACAAAATTGCCTCCAAAGAACTTCATGAAACCCAAACCCCGGGGACTCCAACCATAGGCCTCCCTTCCGGGCCCCAGGTAGGAGAGCCTGGCATTGCTAACAGCCATTCAGGCAGTGGGGGGGGGGGGAGCCAAAGGAAGCTCCTGGGGGCTGAGAAGGGAGGACACAGGCCTTCCTTCTCTAGGTTGGTCCCTGGCCTCCTCCAGATGCCTGACTCTGCTGTTACCACCTGACCGCCAACTATTTTATACCATGAGCCCTCCATCCTGTTTTCCTACAAAAACCATAAAGAAAAACAAAAATCCCTGCTGCTTCAGTGACTTCTGTGGCCAATGACAGGATTTGTCCTTCGGTGGGGAAAGGGGACCTACTGTGGAAGGAAGAGACCTCAGTCCAGGGGTGTTCCTGCTTCTCCCAGCAGCCTATTCTCCCCTCACCCAAATCCATCTCTCCCTCAGGGGTGAAGGGATCTGACCCTGAGGCAGAACAAGCCGGAGAAAGCAGAGAAGAGAAGCCAGTCTCAGCGACCTCAAAGCAGGGGCTTCAGCTAGACCCCACCCCCCTTCACCTCCTGCTAAGTTTCTCTACAAAACAGGACTGTCTGAGCAGCCATGTTGGCACAGGAACATGTCCACCTGGCCACCTAAACACTCTTAGCCCCACAGTGAACAGAATGGAAAAGGGGAGTGGCCTAGCCCATTCCTGAGCTGTGGCCATCAGAGAGGTTTGGACAGTATACCTAGGTTCATGTTTAGCAGGTTGCTAAGTCCTGCCTATAGGAAGTATCTATACACTGAGAACTCATGGCCTAACCAGAGAAAGTGCTGGAACATCAGGCTCCCATTTATGCTCAGTCTCTGTTCTACTAGAACTGGGCTCCATTCAAATACACCTTGGGTTTAAAAATCATTCTGGGCTAAGCTTGACCTCGCTGTGGTGTCCTGCAGAGAAGTCTTTTGCCTTTTAGATCCAGGCTATTCACACCCACCAGACAGAAACACCATATTGGCCCTGAGGTCAGTGTAAGGTGTTGAGGCCCAGAAGTGGTTCCTTCATCCACTGAAGCCAGAGCATATGTGGGGGAGAAGCCGTTTATTAACCAGAAAGGCCTGTCGCTCACTTCCCTCTGCCTCCATGACTGTTCTTTATCCACAAGAAAGAGAACAGAGAGACTCACTCACTGCCACAACACCCACCCCATCCCATCCCCATCTATTCAGGGCGCCTGAGAAGGGCATGGGTGGAGAGGCCACAAAGGCCCACTGGGGTTCCTGGGGGTTGGATCTTAGATCTCATCCCTCCACCCCCAGAGCTGCAGTGTGGGATCCATAGACTTGACTCCCAAAGGTGACTGGAATTCAAGGCCACATCCCTTCAGATCTGCTTACATACATCCTGGAGTTCCCTACCTGTCAGGACAGCCCACTCTCTACAAAATTTCTAGAGAACAGCTCTTAGATCATCCTGGGCCTAAGTGCCAGAGCCATCCCTGGCTGTTGTCCTTGACTCCAATGCCAAGGGCACTTCAGTATAATGAGTTTTTTACTGCCCAGACATAGGAAAGCATTGCTGGCTACATTTGGGCATCAGACCACTGATCAGAAAGACCTAGAGAGGCTACCACAGCACTGACGAGTGGCTCACTGAGCTTGGAGGTGTCCCTGCCTCCCTGGGGACCGTGGTTTGCCCTCTATGAAGTGAAGCTGATGAATCAGGTGACTCAGATACCCCTACAGACATTCTGGGTCATTTATAGTAGCCCTTTTCCACTTTGCTTCCCCTCCCCATTTCCTGTACCCTTGCCCTTCTACCCCCACAGACACAGCGAGGGGCCATAATTTTGATTTGCTTTATTTAGCACATGTAGGATCAGGGAGCATGCTTTGGTTATAAACCAAGAGTACCAAGTAGAGAGCTGACTTTTCACTGCCACGGAATCACAGGAGACAGGGAGAGATGCTACAAATCCATCGGGCTGAGCCCCCTGTGAGGAGACATGTAAACTGACAGTATGCTGGGCCATCTTCGACCCTTTAGGAAAACTGCCCTGGTCCCCTGTTCTCTCTCCCACACTCCCATTTCAGCCCTGGGAGCTGAAACTTACCTGGGGGCAGCTGTCTGGGAGGCATCCCAACCCCCCTCGTCCAGCATGTCCTCCTTTTGTCTTTTCCCATACCTAGAGAGAAGAGGCAGCCAGGGCAAGCATTGTGCTCAGATGCAGCTCACCTGCCTCATACCTCGCCTTATGCCCCATACTGCCTGAGGCACACAGGCCCAGGCCACTCAAAGAGACTCTCCAGAGCCATGATGACTCACACCTGTAATCACTGAGATCTGGAAAATGCAGATTCAAGGCCAACTTAACCAAAAAATAAATCCACTGGGCTCCATCTCCAATTAGCCAGCAAAATTCCAACTGGAGCTGTGGCTCAAAGGGTAGAGCACCAGCCATGAATTAGAAAACTGAAGGAGAGCTCAAGGCCCTGAATTCAAACCCCAGTAGCAACACACACACACACACACACACACACACACACACACACACACACACTGCTTTCCTAAGAGCAGGTCTGGAAGGAAGGAACTAGAGCTAAGAATGGAGTCATGATCACATATTGTGAGTTCCCGGACTCAGAGGCTGGGATTTCTCTCCCTCTCGCACATACCTAGGCCTGGTCAGCATGTTGATGTATCTGCGAAGGTCAGTTGCATACTGGGCCATCTGCTCTGGTGTAGCATTGTCACCTGGGTACACAGGCTCCAGGGGGGCTCCCCAGGCACCAAGAAGTGGCTGCAGCAACAGAGCCACACAGGTGGACAGGAATAGCAGGGAAAGACAGTGACATGCAGCAGCCATCTGAGGAGCGAGGGGACATTTGCAGATGTTCCTTTGCCAGGAAGAAGGACCTGCTCCTCCCGCCCAGCCCCTAATTGTCATCCATTTCTCCAAACCCAGCCTGGGGGTAAGAGGCAAAACAAGGGATCACCAGCACCTACCACCACCCACAGGGTAGAGGACATGGGATGGATTTGTGAAGTCAAAGACAGAAATCTGTGGCCATGTGGGTCTAGTTCTCCTCCGTCCACTTTGCCCAGATGCAGAGTAAGACAGAAGAAGGGCCTTGGGGCTCTCAAAGGTTCCCAACTCTGCCAAGCACAAACTTCTACCACAGCCCCAGGAGGCCCCCAAGTCCCGGGCAGGCTGAGCACTCACCCTGAGTCCTGAGTGAGTGGGTATTGGGCCAGGCGGGCACTTACTGTCGGCCAGATGGGTCTCCCTGTCCTCAGCAGGGCCCCTTTATAATCCTCAGCCAGCCCCCCCCCAGAGTCCCCGCCTCCTGTCAGCCTCTCTCACTCCCCAGCCCCTGCCCGCCTCACTGTCTCCCTGGTGCCCACAACACCAGCACTGGGGCCAAGGACAGAAGGGGGCCGGGCAGTGTTCACCGTGCCAGATTAACAGCAGAATGAACAAGATTGGGGCACAATAAAAGTCTTCCATGAGTCCCTGTCCTCCTCTGGGCACCAGAACCAGTTTGGCTCATGAAGGACAAGATTCTTGGACTTCAGAATAACCTAAAGGTTCTGGTTCTAGCCCTATACAGCCCCTCCTGCCTCCTCAAGTTCAGCCCAAGTCACCAACCAGACTCCCTTAGGGCACAAAGTTGAGGCAGCTGCTCCAGGACTCCAGGGATGAAGGATGGAGGCTCTGGCCTTTCCTGGATGCAACTAGAACAAGTGACAAGAAAGGGACCTTGGATTAGACCAGTGAAGAGTGGCGACCCAAGCAGCATGGAGAAACCCATTTGATGAGCATGAAGCGTGCAGAGTAAGAGCATGAGGGGTTCACTATGAGGTGCTCACTTCTGGTAGCATTTTGTCTCCCAATCTGGAGCCCCATTCCCAGAGTGTGCCAAAATCCAGCATCATCTGTGGAGTCTCAGACCGTCCAAAGTGCTGTCAGTTCAGTGTCACCTCGATGGATCCCCACAACAACCCATTTCACTGACTCAGAAACTGAAATCTGCTCTGAGATGTGAAGAATCTGACTCCAGGCCACACAGCCTGCCCATGGAATAGCTAAGTTTGAAATAAAACCTTATCCCAAAACTTACACTTCAACACACTGCTTTCATTGCCTGCCTCTTAGCTGTGCTGAGAGGCACTTAGCTCTTAGCTGAGGTACAAGGAGGATAGAAACCCTTGCTCAATAACCCCCCCCCATGGCTCATGTCTACGTGGGATTCCCACCCCACTCACCCTGTCCATCCCCCAGCAGAAGCTTCTAAGGCTTCCTTTTCAACATGCCTACCTAGCCCCAGACCCTTCCCCAGCGCAGGAAGGGGCTGTCATTGGCTGTGTCCACCTTGATGCTTGAGTAGGCAGCACAGGATCTCTGTCTCACATCTGGAAGCATCTGTGTGGGTGGGGGAGGGGAAGCATTTGGGGAGTGGAGGGGACAGGCCATCCCTGATACCTCTGAATCTGGAATGGTGGGCTCAGGGTTCCGATAGGCCCCGGCCCAGATGCTATCTCTGCCATTGGCTAGCTGTGTAGACTTGGGAACACAATTCCTTTAGCCACTCTATGTTAAATGTCTATGTTCAATTGATGTGGGCTCATCACATCAATTTGTTAAGTCTCAGTACATCTGGGCACTTCTCTGGGCCTGAGTTTTCTATGGTACAAAACAGGGGTGGTTTGCTGTTGGCTGGCATTCAGGCCAAGCAGCCTGCGTTTTGGCAGGTAAAGGCTGCAGCTGCCACTAGGGGGTGCCAGGCCCCAGGCCTGGTTGAAAGGGATTGGCCTGGCACAGGTTTAGAACCTGCTGTAACCTGCTCTGGCCACTGGCCATTTCAGGACCCAATTCGACCACACAATCTGTGAACCTGGGGATTTGCTCAAGTGCGAGAGCCATTTTTATACTTCTGTCACGTCACAAAGGTAAACCGCTTTGCCAGTGCCCTGCCCAACCCCATGGCCTGTAGACAGGAAAGGGGGTTCTTGCCAGTGCTGGGATAGAGCAAGCGCTATAATAATGAGACAGGGCTGGATGCTGGTGGCTTCTGCCTGTAATCTCAGCTACACAGGAAGCTGAGATCTGAGGATGAAAGTTTGAAGCCAGCCTGAGTAGGAAAGTCTGTGAGACTCTTCTCTCCAATTAACCAGCAAAAAACTGAAAGTAGAGTTGTGGCTCCACTGGTAGAGCACTAGCCTCAAACAAAGACTGGGAAGGTGGCTCAATGGTAGAGTGCTTGCCTCACATGCATGAGGCCCTGGGTTCGATTCCTCAGCACCACATAAACAGAAAAAGCCAGAAGTGGTGCTGTGGCTCAAGTGGTAGAACACTAGCCTTGAGCTGAAGAGCTGAGGGACAGCGCCCAGGTCCAGAGTTCAAGCCTCACAACCAACAAAAAAAAGAAAAGCTAGCCGGGCGCTGGTGGCTCACGCCTGTAATCCTAGTTACTCCGGAGGCTGAGATCTGAGGATTGCAGTTCAAAGCCAGCCGGGGCAGGAGAGACCGTGAGACTCCTATCTCCAGTAAACCACCAGAAAACCGGAAGTGGCGCTGTAGCTCAAGGTAGAGCGCTCGCCTTGAGCTGAAGAGCTGAGGGACAGCGCCCAGGCCCAGAGTTCAAGCCCCACGACCGACAAAAAAAAAAAGCTCAGAGACAATGCCCAGGCCCCGAGTTTAAACCTCGGAACCAACAAGTAATGGTAATAAGGCTGTAAGTGGAAAAAAAAAAAAAGACTGTGAGTGGGACACCCCAGAAACACCTGGGCCCCCAGGGCAAATGAAGATTGATGATGGTGCAAAGGGAAAGAGGTCACCTCTCCACACCCAACATGCTCTCAACTCCTTCCTGCTGCTGAGGAAGGAACCAGAAGCAAAATGTGGTGGAAAGTGGAAAAAGCAAAAGAGAGACTAATTTCACCCTCCAAGGAATGGCTTCCGGGAGCTGCCCCTTATCCCAAAAGATGTTTTAAGGCTAAATAGAAGGAAAGGACTGGGTGGGGGGGAGGGATAGAAGCACATGTGGCCTAACACAGAGCATCAGACTCCACACAGGCAGTGACCTAAACCAAGCCCTCCACCTACCCACCTACCCCCTGTGCTCTATCTGAAGGAAGGCTGAAGGGAACACTGGGGTGGGGGGGGAAGGATGAATGGGACACACCTGGAGGTCTCTAGCATAAATAATGTCCAAGCAGGGGCCTCCCTGGCACCTATGACACTGCCAGCTCTATAGTCCTCTCTCCTTCCAGGGTCATTTAGCTGTAAACTGTCCTGCAAGACCCCCACCTTCCTAAAAGAGTTGATCTGAGAAGGAAGAGTCTCAGAGGATTCAGGTTGGAGCCCAGTGTAAACAACCATAAGCTTGTTTGTTTGTTTTGGTGTCAGTCCTGGGACTTGAACTCAGGGCCTGGGCTCCATCTTTGAGCTTTTATGCTCAAGGCTACTGTTCTACCACTTGAGCTACAGCACCACTTCTGGCTTTTGTTGGTGATAAGAATGTTGGAGAAGTTGGAGATCAGAATGTCACAGATTTTCCTTCCTTGGCTGGCTTTGAACCACAATCCTCAGATCTGAGCCTCGTGAGTAGTTAGGATTACAGGCGGCAACGCTGGGGCCCTACTGCAACTTTAGACCTCAGTGTGTAGTGGGAGGGAGCAGGAGGGGGAAACACTGGAGGGTGTCCCTATGGCCTTGTCACCAGAAAGGCACAGTTAGTAACCAATGCAATAAGTGTGATTCGATCAAGGTGGGGACACCCTTGCTGAGGCACAGAGGGCTTTGATGCCCCTATTGCCCCTCTCACTCAGGGGATAGGGGACCTGAGATATCATCTGCCTCCTTTGCCACCTCCCCCCCTCCCCCCCCCCCCCAGTGGCTCTTTCTCCACCACCCCACCCCACCTTAACCTCCGGCTGTTAAGCTTCTCAGGGAGCCTCCCTTTGCCATTTTCTTGTCTTTATCTTGGCAGAGCTGGGCAGCTCCATCCCCAGCTACCCTCTGAGACTGCCCTAGCTAGCTCCCTTCCTGACCTTTCACTAACTTTCATCTACCACCACCCCCCCACACCCAAGGCCTAGAGTTCCCACCATTGGGTCCTTTGTCCAGTGTCTTGTTGGGGTGCTGTCCAGCTCCAGGCTATGAGCAGAGGGAGCCCCTCTCCCAGGCCCCACCTAGTACTGGGCACCTTTTGTTATTTCTCTGGCTCTGCTGAAACCGCCACGCAGGAGAAGGGAAAGGAAATACAAATGCACACATTGTGCTTTGTGAAATTTGCTCTTTATTGAGGGTCAGGGAGGATCACCACACATCCCTCCAGTCCTGGGGCGAGGAGTGCAGGGCACGCAGAAATAGGGTCTCCATCCTGAACCAGATACACCAATGATCTGTGTGGTTCGCACATCTCTCAGAAGGCTCAGGGGTTCTTTACCACGGGTAAGCACCTTCTGGCCTGCTCGAAGAACAGGAAAGAATTCGATTTGGGGAGACGAAGCTGGGAGAAGTGGTGAGTGAAGGCGCCAGGGCGGGGTTCCGTGAGCCAGGCCCCTCCAGGGCCCAGCATGTGTGCTCAGTCGCGGGGAATGAAGGGGAGCGCCCTGGCAGGATGGGCCTCGTGGTCGCTGGAGAGCAGTCTGGAGATGGGAGCATCCAGGCTTTCGCGTTTCCCATACCTGGGGGCGGGGCCAAATGGGCGTGGTTAGATAACAGAATTAGTGGGCGGGGCCCCAGCCAGGCGCAGGGTTCCCTCCACCACCACCCCTGGGGCGCATGCGCTCAGCTCACCGCTGCCGGGTGACCAGGTTGAGGTAGTGGCGCAGGGAGGCGTAGTAGCGGTTCAGTTCCTCGGGGGAGGCGTCTTCGCCAGGAGCTTCGGGTTTGGCGGGGTAGGCTTCGACCAGCGCCCCCAAGCAGGCGAGCAGGGCCAGCAGCACTGTGGCCCTGGCAGACCACGGCCTGCGCACTGTCACCATCTAGGAAGGGGACGGGGGAGCGGGGTCATCCTGAGTCTCCACCCTCCACAGTGGGCGCCTGCGGTTGCCAGCCGCTCAAATTGGGTTCAGGCTGCCATGGCCTTTCTGGGGCTGGTAACCCCACCTGCCACAGCCTCGCCGTACATTCTGGGGCACCAGATGGGGCCCCATCTCTGGCCTCAGTTTCTTCATCTGTCAGAGAGTCCATAGCCTCCATTCCCAGCCTTCCCACTTCCACTCCAGCCCAAAGGGATAGTTGAAGATTACCTTGACCACCATGCTCCTGGATTTCTTCCCACCTCTAGTGGCCCCCTTCCTCTCCACCTCCCTGCTCCTCAGCCCCAGTTTCCCCACAAATGCCAGCCTCAGTTTCCCCCACAAAATAGCACCGTATCAGACCATTCCCAAGTCCTCAGTCACTCACAGTGGACAGCTCCCGAAGGAAGATGAGCAGGAGGTGGAAGGCAGGGCAGTGTGGAGGGCTGGGTCCCTGCAGGTCGGACTGAGGCCTCTGTCAGCACTGTCCCTTCTTTCGGGGCTTATATCCCCTGGCCTAGAAAGGGAGGGGGAGTCCAGGGGGGAGGGGAGCCAGCAGGGAGGGCCCTTCCTCCTCCCTCCCTCCCTCCACCCCTAACCATGGCTGAGTTTCCTCCAGCTAGTACGTGATGTCTGGCCATGCAGGTGCAGAGAAGGCAGCCGCTCACTCAGCTGACTCAAGGTCCCACGGGCCCCCCATAGTCCCCCCAGTTGCAGGTCTAGCCACCTAAGGAAGCCTTTGGATCCAGACTTCAGGGGCATCTCCTAGAAAGAAGGATGTAATTACATCCTTCCTAGCAGGTCCCTAGGTGTGGGGGGGGGGGGGGCACAGCAAAGTCAAAACTTGTCTCCAGCCAGCAGGACCTGGAACAGCTGTTTCCAGAGACTATGGTTTGTATCTTCTCCTCCTTAATGCCTTGGAGAAGGGCCCAGGAATGACAGGACCTGGGGGTGGGGATGGCTTTCTACTGGAGGCAGGATTAGGAGAGTCTGACTTGGCTCCTGACCTTCTATGATGTTATGATGTCCTGGGGAGAAGATTCTCTGGACACCATTATATTCTCTCTCCATTAAGAACTGGGGAGAGGGAGACCCAGCACTTGGGAATTGGAGGCAGAAGGATTCTAAGTTCAAGGGTGGTTTGGGCTACATACAGAGACTGTGTCTCAAAAGAAAAAAATTGCCAGGCGCTGGTGGCTCATTCCTGTAATCCTCACTACTCAGGAGGCTGAGATCCGAGGACTGAGGTTCAAAGCCAGCCCAGACAGAAAAGTCCCCATGACACTCTTCAATTAATCACTCAAAAACCAGAAGTGGCACTGTGGTAGAACTCTAGCCTTGAGCACAAATTGGCTCAGGGACAGTGCCCAGGCCCTGAGTTCAAGCCCCACAACCACAATAAAAAAGCAAAAAAAATTAAAAAGGTGATGGAGGAGAAGGAAGGCAGAAGGCAGTCCAATCTCCAGAAGCAGCTGAATGGGCCACCCATGCATCCAGCCTGGCAATTACAGATCCTGATCCAGCCACACATGCCTGCAGTAGAGCTCCTTCCCCTATCTAGGTGTCATTCAGAGGGCACTGGTGTCTTCTGTAACTGTATCAGCCTGTGACAGCCTCTATTGGGCTCTGGGGCCAAGACCTATTCCCAGGGCCTCAGAAGGAAAGAGAAGGGGAGTAACACTTGTTAGGCATCTACAGTGTTCTTAGTAGTCCCATCTCCTACCCAACAAAGCCATGAGAACATGGAAGCACTGAGAGATCAGTCATGATGCGAACAGGAAATAGAAGGTGGCTATACCCCCAGAAAGAGGCACTGTCAATCCTGAAGATAGACAAACTCCCCTCCTGGCGTGGACCTGGAGCTTCAGAGTTAGTGTAGGAGCAGGGGATAGGAGGCTAAGTCAGGTGCCACCACCCACTCTGACAGACCAGTAGGAGAAGGACCCCAGACTGCCAACCCCTTCAGAACCTTCTCACCTCACCAGAAAGAAAGAGAATTCTGGAAAGTCTCCCATAAAGCTCTTTCCAGTTCCATCTTCCTCATCTGGCCAGAGCCTACACAGCTTCCTGCCCCAGGATGCAGAAGGAGCCATCTTACCCAAGCCCCTAGTTCAGGGCGAGCACCTCCACCTTCCAGGACAGATGGCCCTCAGTGCTATTTTTAGAGCTCTCCTGAGATGAAGAGTCCAGGGCTCCCTCAATCACCTTTTTATGGGTTCAATCATCTGCATTCTCAGGAAATGTATCCTTATCAGCCAGTCAGGATCTGTGTCCCCACCACTACAACCCAAGAAATACCTGGGTATCTTGCTGAGCAAAGGCACAGAGAATATGGGGACAAAGGAACACAGCCCCCATCCTCGGAGGGAGGAGAAAAGTCATTCTTCTTAGGGATCCTGTGTGTCTGAGGAATAAGGCACAGCGCTAGCCTCAGGAACCCTAGTCTCCGTAGAAACATGACCGCATCCTTAGGCAGCACTCCCTGTTTTAGGAAATCTCAGAACAGATACATAAAGATAAGCTTCTGTCTTGGTTGGAGAAGAAATGATAGGAGTAAAAGAATTCCACATCACCATGGAAAGGTAAGAAATAATGTCCACACCGGAACACCAGAGCTGTGAGGACAGCTGGGTCCCTAGAGATCAGGGCCTGCACAAGGACTCTGAAAGCTAAAAGGACAAAGATGCCAGGCGCCAGTGGCACACGCCTATAATCCTAGCTACTCCGGAGGCTGAGATCTGAGGATTATGGTTCAAAGCCAGCCCAGGCAGGAAAATCTCTTATCTCCAATTAATCACCAGAAAACCAGAAGTGACACAATGGCTCAAGACGTAAAGCGCTTTCCTTGAGCTGTAGAGCTGATAGACAGCACCCAGGCCCAGAGTTCAAGCCCCACGACCAACAACAACGCCAACAACAAAAAACAGAAAAAAGATGAGGGAGGGAATCAGCAGTAGCCAGGAAAATAAGAGGTGTTTCTGGTATAATAACCCTAAATAAAAAGAGGTGAAGGATACCAGACACTGTTTGCTCACATTTGTAATCCTAAACACCCAGTAACTGAAATCTGGGGGTCCCAGTTCAAAGCCAGACTGGGCAGACATACTGAGAGACATTTAGTCCCAATTACCTAGAAAAAAAAAAACTGGATGTGGTAGAGCACTAGCCTTGAGTGAAAAAGCCAAGCAAAGGCTGAGGCTCTGAGTTCAAGCCCCAGTACTGGCACCGATTCCCTAAGAGAGATGCACACAGGAAATCCATCGCCCCTAGGCCCCTTTGATCCCTAAGCCTTGTGATACGGGGTCTGAGGACAGATGACAGAAGAGAAGGAAGTACGGAGATGCTAAAAGCTTGGGGAAGGCCTAGATTCAGTGTACAATCCCTAAAGAATTCACTTCCATGTTTAGCTTCAGCATAAAAGTAAACAGGAATACAGATGGCCTCTCAGTGTGGACCAGGAGCCAGATCCCCACCCCTTCCCAAGCTTAGCCTATCCATCATGGCCCCCTCCCTCCAGTTCTACTCCCCAATTATTGGGTACACTGATGGTTTCATTAATCACCATCTCCTCCTGGAAGATTTTATTAATTTGTTGATTAGTAGGGAGGACGTCTGAGCTCTGGATCAATGAGTTCAGCAGCTCCCATCCACACGCCCACCAGTACCATTGACCTATGACTCAGTGGTTGCGAGACATGTCTGGGAGTTGGCCAGGGGAGGGAGGGTTGCTGACATCTGTGAGGGGGGAAACTTTACCACCAAAAGTTACTGTGAACTGGTGACCAGAGACCTACCCAACAACTTGTCCTCAGTGGGTAGAGGGACAGAATCACTGGAGTATTAGTTAGGTATTAGTGGCTCACACCTATAATCCTAGCTACTCAAGAGGCTGAGATATTAGGATCATGGTTCAAAGCAAACCTGGGAAGAAAAATCTATGAGAATCTTATATCCAGTTAGCCAGCAAAAATCCAGAGGTGGAGGTATGGCTCAAGTGGTAGGGGTCCAGCCTTAAGTGGAAAAGCCAAGCAAGAGTGCAAGGCCTGGAGTTCAAACCCTAGTACTGAGCACAAATTAAATAAGCAGCACATGCACGTGCATGCGTGCACACACATGCATGTGCACACACGCGCACACACACACACAAAAGGTTGTGGTTGTCTAGCAAATACAATGCCTTGAGTTCAAGCCCTGGTTTATTTTGTACTGAGCACAAATATCCTCTGGCTTAACTATGTTCTGGTTCTTGGCACAGCACTGAGAAATGAACTCCTCCCTCTACAGTGTCATTAGCCACCTTCAAAGAGACTTACTTCCCTGTTTCCCATGAGCACTGTGAGGAGGGCATGTGGGACCGTGGATGAGTGCATGAGGTCCAGGGTTGCTGCCCATGCCATACTGCACCATGGATTGTGGTTAAAGCTGGCAGGTGAGTTTAAGAGATAGTGATGTTGCCTGTAATTCCAGCTACTCCAAAGGCTGAGATCTAAAGACTGCAGCTCAAAGCCAGGAAAGTCTGTTAGACTCTTATTTCCAATTAACAGCAACAAAAAGAGCTGGAAGTGGAAGAGTGCTAGGCTTGAGCAAAAAAGCTCAGGGACAGCATGCAAACCCTTCATCCAAGTCCCAAGACTGGCATACACGAAACAGACAGTGATTGCAAGAAAGAAGAGGCTGTACTGTTAATGGGAGGAATTTTCCCTTAGCCCACTGCCCCACACTCCTGGTCCTTCTGTAAAGCAGAGAGGCAGATACAAGTGGCATGGTGCCTGCCCAAAGCTCAGGCTTCTCTCTAGGACAAGGAGCAGCAAACTTTCTGTAAAGAACCAGACTTTAAGCCATGTGGATCACATAGTCTGCTCTGTTCCTCCAGCTGCTCTGCTCTATGGCCATTGGAGATTGAAGTAGCCACAGAATCTACCAACAATTGAGTAGGCAGGGTGGTGCGTCAACAAAACTTTCATTATGGACATCGAATTTTACGGAAGTAGCACTGTGATTCAAATGGTAGAATACTAACCTTGAGTACAAAGTGGCTCAGGGACAGTACCCAGGCCCTGAGTTCAAAACCCAGGATTGGAAAAGCAAAAAAAGTTTGAGCTGGGTGCCAATGGCTCATGCCTGTAATCCTAGCTACTCAGGAGGCTGAGATCTGAGGATCATGGTTCAAAGTCAGCCCAGGCAGGAAAGTCCGTGAGACTCTTTTTTTTTGGGGGGGGGTCCAGT